GTTCAGCCTGGAGAAGAGGGGGCTCAGGGGAGACCTTATCGCTCTCTACAGCTCCCTGAAAGGAGGGTGCAGTGAGGTGGGGGTTGGTCTCTTCTCCCAAGTGACAAGTGATAGAACAAGAGGAAATGGCCTGAAGTTGTGCAAGGGGAAGTTTAGATTGGATATTAGGAAAAATTTCTTCATGGAAATGGTAGTTAGGCACTGGAATGGGATGCCCAGGGAGGTGGCGGAGTCATCAACGTATTTAAGAGACGTGCAGACGTGATGCTTGGGGACACAGGTGAGTGGTGGACTTGGCAGTGTCAGGCTAACAGCTGGACTTGATGATCTTAAAGGTCTTTTCCAACATCGTTTAAGATTTTATTAGAGAAAAACTGTTTGAAGCGCAGATGATAAAATAGATCACTGACAGCCATCATTACAGGCATATGCTGTTGATTCTTCTGAACACTGTGGGACCTGTACATTCAAGGGAATGTTTCTCTAAGGGAGTTTCTAACAATTTAAGAACCTTTAATGGGGAAAGAAACATTTTTTTATTACTCAAAGGAATTCACATTACAAATACAGGAATACCAGCAAACACCAGAAACGCACCAGTTTAAGACTGAAAAAGACAGTGCTTTTAAGGGACAAAATAGTAACCCGAAGCCTGCTGCAGTCAGGCACAGAGGAGACCCTTTACCAGGAAGGTACACAGTTTCCACCTACATAGGAAAACACAAGTTCTGATTAAAGAACTTGTTGCGACATTTCTTCTTCTTTTGAAGTGCCAAGGGTTCTCCATACTCTGCCTTCTGCCACCAAACTAGGGATTTCAGCAGACAGCAGAATGCAACTTACCCTCCAAAGAAAGAACAGTACCATACAGATTCAAGTACATAATCTCCCCAAGAAGTGGCAAACATTTTTTATTTATTGACTCATTAAGCCACATGCCAAGACCACTGAACCTTTCCACCTTATCTCTTTCTCTTTCTTCCATTGTTGTTTGATCCCTGCTCCAACTCAACCCTTAATGCTCAGTTTCCATTCCCAGACCACGAGCCAAAAGTCTTTCCTTTTTGCATCAGCATTTGCCATTTTAATTTTCTTTCTGGTTACATTAAACACTCCCAACACCCTACCTACTGAAGTTCAATGTGTGCTGCTGTCCTCACTTCTGGATTTACCTAACCAGAATTGGTTTTCATTTCCAGCTCCCTAAGGCCCAAAACTTCCTGTTATCATTTGAACGTGTGAGTAATCTCTCTGCAAATTGGGTGTGTGAGGAAATAGCCTGTTTCCAGTCCCCACAACTATACATTTATTTCAGAATGTGACTATACTGGTATAACACCAGACAGGTTTTTGCTAAGAGTTTTCCTCCTATGGCCTGATCCAAGAATGACTTTTGGGCTCCCACTTTCCACATTCTCTATAACCTCTCTAAATATACTTTTTTTTTTCCCCCCTCTACTCAACTAGAAGACGACTTCGTTGGAATTGAGAGCATCCACACAGTGCTCTACAGTCAAACACAGTAATAAAAGCTGTTCCTTCGGAGGAAAGGAAACTGTACCCAATTAGCTGAATAGCAGATAGGCTCTGAAAACATACCTGGTCTCTCACAGGCAATGCCAAAGAGCACTGTTCACCGGACAAGAAGAACTCTACGTGTAAAATCAATTAACACTTACCCTAAGCTGCCATTCCACCAAGTCTGTTCCAGTGATCATCTCTGTAACTGGGTGCTCTACTTGCAGTCTGGTATTCATCTCCATGAAGTAAAAATTATGTTGGGAGTCCATAATGAATTCCACTGTTCCTGAAGTAATTAATAAAAGGGCACTTCAGCAAAACAAGACTTTTTCAGAATGGACACCTAAGACACTTAATTGACTTGTGCTAGGACAAGACTACTATTTCTAAACCAGATACACTGAATTTCACTAAATTCTATACAAATTGTTCTAAAGGGTCACACAATTGAGGTCTGAAAACAGAAGGGTTGTTTCCTTGCACATTTCTCTATCCTGCGCTGTGTAGTAGCCATTCTCTACAGCAAGAGCTGCATTTCATTAGAGCTGTTAAAACTGCATCAAGACTCTTTCAAGTATTGTGGATCTGTATAGGGCATGTAATTATCTTTTCAAAATAAGGATCCAAAGAAAGACGTGATGAAAGAAAAGCCACAAATAATTTTAGCAGGTTATTTTTCATTTGGGAAACAGCATGGACTTCACAGACTTCTCAGACTTCACTGAGTTGTGTTGGTTTGGTTTTTTAAAGGCTTTACTGTTTGAATATATTCTTCTTTGTAAGCTGAAAGAAATTATTTTTCCTTTGCTCTGCTCAAACTTACTAACACTCATGATGCTCACTTTCCAACAACAATCCAGTTGACTGAATTACCTGCTCTGCATTTTGTTTCTTTCTGTTCTTCAGCTGCCACTAGTCTTGAGCTCAGACCAGGTGTGCTAGTTTAAATGTGTAATTACATCACAATCAACTACGTGGTTACTTGCTTAAACCTCAAAAAAAATTGGGGGATGTGTGTCATACCCTAAAACAACCAGATGTCATTTGCCTTGAAGCTTGAAGTCTTATTCAATTAAAAGCATACCACTGGAGCAGCCATACCTCCACAGACTTACCTGCTCCCACGTAATTCACTGCTTTAGCTGCTTTGACAGCAGCTTCTCCGAGTCTCTTACGGACTTCAGGATTAATTCCTGGCTGTAAATAGTAATACAAAAGGTTATAAATTATTGTGAATTTTGGTGATATTAAACCTACTACGCATGAATATTTTGCACTAGTTAGCAACTGTAGTGAAAACCTTATCAATGTTATACTTGAAATCTACATAGTTTTCCTCTGAAAATCGTTTTCCGAAAGAAAGAAATTTTTTCAATTAGAACATTTTCTGCAGCAAAATTAAAACAGGTACTGAGAATTACAGATAAATTACTACCCACTAAATAAATCAGATGCAGGTTAGAAATTACTTTAAAAATATGCCAGTTCATAAAAAATAAGAACTTTCTGCTCACCCCTGGTGCCTCTTCAATGATCTTCTGATGTCTTCTCTGCACACTGCAGTCTCTTTCGAACAGATAGACTGCATTGCCATGCTGGTCACCAAACACTTGGACTTCAACATGCCTGTTTCATAATAATAAACGTTTCAACATGTTTCGGTAAAGCCCCAATCCTGCAACTGACTTCACCCAGACAGACTCTGAACTTGTACACAGCCCTGTACACATCAGTAGGACTTCTTATAGGTTTAAGTATCTGTCCTCAAATAGCCAAAAATTTAGAAATGATGCTGTTGTTATGCAGAATTTCCACTGTTTTGGATTTCCACTGTTTAAGACTTCCTCGGTCTCTTAAATGAAATAGGATTCTAAATGCCAGCTACCGCAGTGAAAACCCAGGCCACAGGATAAACAAGATACATATCTAAAGGCTTCTACCTCTTTATTAGTTATTTTATTATAATAAAAATAAAACCACTTCACTATTATTTGATAACGATGATTTCCCTCCTAATTTACGCTGTAGCAATTCACAAGAGGCAGCAGCCGTGGCTCAGGAGTAATACTATTTACTCCAACACACTATTTCAGAGAACAACTATTAGCTGGCAGAACTTCATTCTACGCATAAAACTACGAAAAATCCATCACTATTCTGATAATCCCCTGATGCTGGCAAAAGAAATTCTCTAGGAATCTAATGAGATTTTTCTCATGTCCATCTGACAGCACAAGCAGGCCCTCAGTCTCTTTAGAATAAACGCTTTCTTTACGGTGATGCTTCAACCAGAACAGATATAAAGTACAGGAGTATCAAACAGACCTCTGAGAAGTTCTTATACAAAAGTAAGTTAGCTCAGTTTCACAGGTCAGGCATGAGAAAAGACTTTCACCTCTGTTTTAAATACCAAAATAAAGATTAAGTACCTAGTTTAGGACACCTGAGGGCAGCAGAAACACCATGACAGCTTGATTCAGGTCTGTAGTTCAAGTATTAGAAAGTGGGTTTTTTCTAGATGTAAATCGAATTTACAAAGCTAACTCAAGGAGGAATACCAGTGTCATTAGACATTACTGCCAAGTCTCCCTAATCACAGTATTTTAATTCTTACCATTCAAAACAAAGTCACTGCAAGGAATTCAATAAATTATGAATACCTGCTGTAGTGCAAATAAAACACACAAGATCAATTTTCATCCTATTACTAGAAGAGTTATGTTCATTCAACAGTAAAATAAACAATACATGTTTGTATTAAAACATCTATTCTCACCTTGGGTTATCTACAAATTTCTCAATCAGCATTGCATCATCATTGAAAGACTTCTTGGCTTCCCTCCTAGCTGATTCCAATTGGCCCAGAAACTCTTTTTCTGAATGAGCAATTCTCATGCCCTAAACCAAAACAAAAGCACATCTAAATGTCTAAAGCTACAACAAATGGAAATGAGATTTCACAGTGCTGGGCTGGCCATTAATAATAATATTTTAACCAAAAGTAGTTTTCCAGATGATTTGTTTTCAAAGACTTCCAGAATATCAAGTTACAGAAACGGAGACATGACAACTTCACACCATGGGATAAACAGATTAGTTCCTTTACCTTCCCGCCACCTCCACGAACAGCTTTAATCATTACTGGATATCCTATTCTCTTGGCGTGTTCCTGCAGACACTCATCTGATTGATCTTCTCCATGATAACCTTCAACAACAGGAACGCCAGCAGCAGACATTATAGCTTTGGAAGTGCTTTGACAGAACAGTTTCCAGTTTAGATTGGTAATAATATATTTTTCTTACTTCAAGCTCCTGTATATGTTCCCAAAGTTAATTCTTCTCAGAAAAGTAGTTCCACTGACCCCAACGGGGCTACTTATGTAAGTGGGTCACAAACGATTTGACTGTGATTCAGCAAATGTTTCAAATAGAGATACTTTTTACTCCAAGCCCTCCAGATGTAAGCAGTAGCCAGTTTCAGGCTTATTGTTCTTTCCTATCTTTTTACCCACATTATAGAGGCTAAAACCTAACATTTTCAAATTACACCACCGTATCCTGCCAATACGCTGTTTAAAGTAGTACAAAGGCCAAACTGTTCATGACACAGGCTGGATTCACATCACACATAAAACACTCGAGCATAACAGCTGTAACTTGAAATATGCTTGCAAAACTAGTTAAGTTACAGAGGTAATTTACTCTCACATTAGGAAGTGATAAAAAAGCAATTCTCTGAAATTACTATTACACAGTTCATGTGTTGGTAATAACCCTATTTCCATATTCTTGATTTATACTTCATAGCCTGGAAACATTTCTTTGATCTAAGTAACTAAGATCCTTTGTGATAAACAAATCTTATCGCCCCGTCTTACATGAGCCACAATAACCACTGATGACACACTGCTTCTTTTCCACCCTTCTTTTGACCAATATATGAGACACCCAATCTGGCTTCTGAACCCTTTCCTAGGTAACACTAACCTCCCCCCCACCACCTCAAGAATCAGTCAGGTATTTAATTATTAAAATCCTAATAACTGAACAATCTTGATTGTTTCTCTGACTATAGGCATCCCACATCTCTAAACCTGGAGCTTATTCCTTTGCAGACAGCCATAAAAATTAAGACAATGAAAACCGACAGAATAATTATGGAACAGCTGGTCATTTGTTAACAAAATGATCTCTGCCAAACTGTACGTAGCATAACCGAGTAACAAGTCAGACACAGATACCTCTTAATACCCATATCTCTGATAGCAGATGAAGGCGGACCTATGAAGATGATTCCCTCCTGCTTGCACAACTCTGCAAACTCTGTGTTTTCTGAGAGGAAACCATAACCTGGATGAATAGCCTAAAACAGAATAGTGTTACCAGCCTATTTTTATATCAGTTTAGCTTAAAAAAATACTGAAATTTCAGTAGGGAAACATCACTGGTAAAACCAAAGAACTAAAGAACATGGAAGTAACACAAGGTTTAAGGTCGTGATCTACTTGCCTGTGCTGCCGAGATCTTGGCCACCTGCATTATCTTCTCCATGGCCAAGTAGCTCTGCTGTGAGGGTGCCGGACCAATGCAATGTGCTTCATCTGCCTGTTACAGAAAAATAGGTACAACGCAGGCTGTTAGGGAATGAAAAGCAATTTTAACGGAATTTCCGAGCTAATCATATCGTTTATCAGGCTGCTAGCACGCAACAGTTTAAATCACTGTCTCTCTTCATGGAGAGGCTCAACTGGGTGAAAGAGATTCTGATTTTCTTCCAAAATGACAGGCCATCCTCTAACCCCCAGCGGCTGCTCTGGAGTTAGAGCATGCGCTTCCTGTTGTCACGTGCCGAGAGTGACTAGGGAAACTTTTCAATGCCTCGAGGAAAACTTGGACACAACCCTTCAACAGTGAGAATCAATTGCATTAGCACACACTCCTAATTTCACTTCGAACTTATTAATGAGAAATATTGTTGTGAATGAACGTGAGTTACAAATTTAATGAATATACTTCACCATTGCTACGTGCATGGAGTTTCTGTCCGCTTCGCTATAAACTGCTACAGACTTCACGCCCATTTTCTTGGCTGTTCGCATCACCCTGCATGCAATTTCTCCTCGGTTGGCAATAAGGATCTTCCCTATGCTGTGACCTCCTGTTTGAAAGGATGGAGCACAGTAAGCAATTTTTAGAAGGCGTATATCCTTAAAAACATTCCTGGCAACAAAGCAGTTTAAAACTCAGATTTCTTTTTCATCATATATAGCATTTATGCATTTCTTCCAATAATGATAAAACACATGCTTCACCCAAAAGCATTTTCATGTTAATCCTGGAATTTTTTCCGTGAGAGTCCTTATGCAGTACAACTACGACTTTTTTTTCTTTTTAGAATCCAGGAAATATATTCTAAACCTAAAACAAATGCAAAAGTTGACTATTTTTACTGTGCACTTTCTGGACCAGCTAGGAAACAATTAACACCCACCCCTCCTCCCAGGTAGAAGTGATTCACATTTCTGTGGGAAGCACTACTCCCCACTGACACACCGTCACACAGAAATAATAAAATATGAAGCTTTTTTGTCAGCAGGTTTTGTTGTTGTTGTTACTGTTTTTAAACAGTGACTTACAAGCTTTTAAGTCTCATGACAGCAGTTAAAACCTGACAGAAATATAAGGCCAGCAGAGGCAGAGGCCTCACAGGCAGAACCAAATAGCTTAAAACTAACTAGTAAAATGAAAATATATCTCTGAATCCTAAAACATATCTTTTTAGACAACATGACAACAGTCAGTTGAAATCATCTTGCTAAGTATTTTTAACTTTCCTTCATATACTGCTGAAATACCGTATGCCTCAAATCCAATTCTCACAGACACTGCAACGTTTGTATCAGAAAAGGACTTAATGAAAACTATTTATTTTTGCGATGTTTTCCACTTAAGTGGAATATACCCAAATACGACAGATAAAATCATTCAAAATGTGGTTTACACTTTAAAGATTGTTTGTTGTGTTGGCTACAGACCAACTACTGTTTTCAAGAACTATACAAATATTGAACGTTTCTTAAAAAAAACCTACAGTTCTTCAGCAACTAATGATCTAAAGCATTACACAAGGAATTACACCTAGTAGCTAAAGAAGCTGAATTTCATACCTATCGTGGAGGCCCATTTCACGAACCTTTGTACTTGGTTCCATTGCCTGTACAATCACAAACACGCAGAAGCGTTACAAAAACATACAAAGAAGCTGCAGTTGAGCTACTTTTACGTTCAGGTGGGAGGAGGAGAGCACTAAGGGAGCTCTGAGGCTTCTGATGCAGCCATTTACCCAGAACACGTTCAAGTACAAGGATGAACAAACTGCGCCAGGTCAGGGTTTTCATTTAGATGCAACAGAAACAAGTTGTCCTCTCGCTTTTTTTTAGCGCCATTCAAATCAAAATAGTCAACACGGGGAGGGTGTCCTTAATAAAAGAGGATTTTGTAGTGGACAGAAGAGCCAAGGTCTGGCCTTTGCTGCGGAGAACGCGACTTGAGGCGTTCAGGAAAGAAGACATGAACGATCACAAAACTGAAACGCTTAAAAATGTGTTTATATAGAGAAAAGGTGCAAGAGAGGGGATGAAAAATTTTGGAAATTAAGTTAAACCCCAAACAAACAAAAAGTACTGAAGAAATCAGACAGCAAAGGGTGAGCGAGCGGATGAAACCGTAAACTCGTGGCACAGTTTTAATTAACGTACAAATCAACTTCGGCGCCTTGGCTGAAGCCCAGAGGCGCCCCCGAGGCCGCAGACCCGACGCCCCGTCTCAGTGACGGGGGCCAAGCCGCGCGCGCCCCGAGCTCGCCTCAGGCGGC